TTTAGTGTTTAGGGTTTAGGATTTAGAGTATAGTGGTTGGGACTTCGGGCTCAAGGCAGTTAGCAATAGTATTCCCTTACAGCCCTTCATATAACTATCGCAAAACAATACATGCACCCCAAAACCCTTCTTCTATGTATTGAGGCCGCTAGCCCACCCCGAAACCCTAAATCCCTAAACCTGAAAACCGGAAAAAAAAATCTAAACCTGAAAAACCCCTAAACCTTAAAAGCCGAAAAAAAATCCGCAGCCCAGCCCCAGAAAGAACCCGACGACAAGGAGGCCTCGAGAGGGGCGCAGAGCTGAGCGGTCAGACGGAGCCTTTTTTGGTCTTAGCAGGGCTTTAGGGCCTGGGTTCCTGTAAGGGTTATAGGGTTTAGGGTTTAGGGGTTTAGGGTTTAGGGTTTTGGGTTTTGTTCTTTAGGGTTTTCGGGCTCCTTTTAAGGATTATGGCGCTTGGGGTTTAGGGATTTAGGGTTTAGAGTTTAGGGCTTGGGGTTAGGCTTTAGGGCCTGGGTTCCTTTAAGGGTTATAGGGTTTAGGGGGTTTAGGGTTTAGGGTTAAGGGTTTAGGGTTTTGGGTTTTGGGCTTTAGCTTTCGGGCTCCTTTTAAGGATTGTGGGCTTGGGGTTTGGGGGTTTGGGGTTTAGGGTTTAGGGCTTGGGGTTAGGCTTTAGGGCCTGGGTTCCTTTAAGGGTTATAGGGCTTAGGGCTTAGGGCTTTGGGGCTTAGGGCTTAGGGCTTGGGGTTAGGCTTTAGGGCCTGGGTTCCTTTAAGGGTTATACGGGTCAGGGTTTAGGGCTTTGGGTTTAAGTAGGGTTTATAGGGCCTGGGTTCCTGTAAGGGTTATGTGGCTTGGGCTTAGGGCTTTAGGGCTTAGGGTTTAGGGCTTGGGGTTAGGCTTTAGGGCCTGGGTTCCTTTAAGGGCTATACGGGTTAGGGTTTAGGGGTTTAGGGTTTAGGGTTGAGGGTTTAGGGTTTTGGGCTTAGGTAGGGTTTATAGGGCCTGGGTTCTTTAAGGGTTATGGGGCTTGGGCTTAGGGCTTTAGTGCTTCGGGTTTGGGCTTGGGGTTAGGCTTTAGGGCCTGGGTTCCTTTAAGGGTTGTAGGGCTTAGGGTTTAGGGTTTAGGGTTTAGGGTTAAGGGTTTAGGGTTTTGGGTTTTGGGTTTTGGGCTTAGGGCTTAGGGCTTATAGGGCTTGGGTTCCTTTAAGGGGTATGGGGTTTGGGCTTTAGGGCGTGGGTTCCTTTAAGGGCTATGGGGCTTGGGCTTAAGGCTTTAGGGCTTGGGTTCCTTTAAGGGCTATGGGGTTTGGGTTTAGGGTTTAGGGCTTAGGGTTTACATAGCGGCCTGAGGGTTTGGGATTTAGGGCTTTAGGGTTTCGTTTTCCTTTAAGGGTTATAGGGTTTGGGTTGAGAGGTTTAGGGCTCCTGTAAGGGATCCATATTCGGGTTTTAGGTTTAGGGTCTAAGGTTTATGTGTTCGGGCTTCGGGCTTATAGGGCTTTAGGTCTTTAGGGGTGCTATAAGGGTTTAGGCTTTATTGCACCCAAGGCTCCCGGAATCAAAAACCAAAACCCTAAACCCTAAACCCTAAACCCTCAACCGGAATCAAAAACAAAAATCGAAAGAGCAAAGTTCATCAGAGCTTCAGAAGACTCAAACGCGAGTTCCTGGGTCTGGTGGAGACCGCTGGGGCTTAGGGGTTAGGGTTTAGGGTTTAGGGTTTAGGGTTTAGGGTTTAGGGTTTAGGGTCATGATTCCAGCTCCGAGCCTCAAAGTTGGGACCCTAAACCCCCGAACGCAGGGGCCTTAATAATCAAAAGAGGGTTTTGGGTTCCTTTGTAGTGCTTTATAGTCCAGTTCTAATAAGGAGCCCTATAAGGAATAATATTGCTAATTATTTGTAGTCCCTAGATCCCAACTCGGCAAAAGAAACAGGCAGCCCCTACACGTCCCCTTACCCCCGAAAAACCTAACCACCGCCCCCTTTCCGGGCAGCAGGCGCATCCTCAGGTGCCCGGCGCGCCTCCGGAAGGCTTGCTGCTCGGCGTGCTTAGGGCAGCTTGGTTTCCGATTGAGGGTTTTGCGATGCTTTGCGTCTTGGGTTTGGGGGGAGACGCGGGCATGCACGGGGATCGGGGCTTAGGAGGCCTGGGGTTCACTCCTTGCTGGAGGGGCGTTTAGGGTGCAAGGTTGGCTTTGGGCTCAAGGGTTAAAAGGTTGCTTCTTCACCGCCGCTCGGAAACTTTGCTGGTGTGCTTCGCAACTTGGTGACCAGCTTCTTGCAGAAGTGTCTTACGGGCGACAGGGTAGCACTTCGCCATCAACAAGTTGGGTACCAGCTGCACCCAAAGCCCAAAAACTTTCAACTCAGCCTTTGAAGAAGAAGCACTGAATAAGAACCCCGAATCCAATGAGGAAGCCCAAAACCCCCGTACCTGGCCCCTAAACCCTAAACCCTGAACCCTAGACCCTAAACCCCTGGCCTCTTCAAGGGAGTCAGGTCTTGGCTCTGCAAAACCAGACCAAGCCTTCTGAATCCTTCTCCCTAGGACTCTATAAACTCTACCGGTTTTTTTAGGGTTTAGGATGTTTTTCGGTGTTTAGGATGTTTTAGGGCTGAGGATGTTTTGAGGGCTGAGGCTGTTTTCGGGTTTGGGGTTTACGGTTTGGGGCTTCCTGCTTAAATTGAGGTTCAAGATGACGGGAAGCCCCAGGCTTCGGTCCTGACCGTGGGGGCGGGGGGGGTTAGGGTTTAGGGTTTAGGGTTTAGGGTTTAGGGTTTAGGGTTTAGGGTTTAGGGTTTAGGGTTTAGGGTTTAGGGTTTAGGGGGCCTTTGTTGTCGGGTTGTCATTGGCGTTCCTTGCTTGGGACCCAGGGAAGTACGATCACAACAAGGTTTATATAGAGGCCTTAATAGTTAGAATGGGGTTCTGGGGTATTTTAGATTTTAAGTAGAAATTTGGAATCCCCAAAACAGTACAGGTAATTACTAAGGCCCCCTACATTACCAGTCCAGGAGACCTAGAGCAAAACTCGCCAACCTGGCAACTCCGAAGACAAGACCTGGCACCCAAATAACGAATCCGAGCAGCAAGCTCTGAAGCTACGAGCCACTTGCCAGGGTTAGCACCATGGGCAAATCCTGCGCTCCACTCCTTTTGCTAAGACCACAAGCAAGGTTGACTCAATCGTGGAAGCGCTTATAACGCAGGTCCGGCAAACGGATCCTTCGAGCCCAACACTCCGGACCGGCAAATTCCTTTGGTGCATAAGTCGCCACCCCACTTTGCCTCGACTGGGATACACTCGTTGTGTCGAAGGCATTCGGATCATCGATCTTGCACCACTGCTTGCTGCCGCCACTACTGCAACTCTATGATTCAAGTGTCTGCACCGTCGGATCTTGGCGAGGCTCCCAATATATCTGCAATCGATGGAATGTGGTGGACCTCTTCTGTGACGGGATCTCCGGCCTGCGGCTCTGCGCGGCACTCTCGCAGATGCATCATGATCTCACGCCGTTCCTGTGCAAAAAAGGGCGGTCTTTCTGACATTGTGTAGAACTATACTGAACTTAGACCCCTAGCAAAGATTATAATTTTAGCTGCTTCTTAGGGTTTATAGTAACCAAAGATTAAAAATTATTTCTAAGTACCCCTAAGCGGAGTTTTCCAAGCCTTCAGCTCCGCAAGCCACCCGCCAGCAAACTGCATAAAGTTGACATATCAACACCTGCATGTCTGAACTCAACCAAGGCTGCGTTTGCGGCTGCCAACCTGTCTGCTGGCTGCCCGCGAAGATGCAGTACAGCTTGGGTCCCGCTTCGCACTCGCTTGTCTTTAGGCACGCCAAGAACCGCAATCAAGAACACGTCTGCGAAGGCTCTGTTAGGTCGCACGCCGGAGTCCTTCATGTTGTTGTAGGTCTTCAAGATCCGTGTTAGTGCAGCGTTCCTGTATGCTCCCATCAAGCATGTATACATCGGAATATCTGGTTGCAAACCCATATCGAGACTAAATTGAACAAGTGCTCTGCTGCATTCTGATGATTGCGTTTTGCATCCCAGCACGCTCGTATGGCAGACGTGATATGAGCATTGTTGATTTGGACACGCTTCCCGTTCATGGTGTCCAGAACTTCGGCGGCCGTGTAGACGTCTCCCTCAGCTGCTGCAGCAGCAATGCGCGCCTGGGCTAGTAGCTCGTCAAGGCTGCAGCTCTGCAAGGCCTCTGTCCATATCTGCCGCACGACATGCGGCTGCTTCAATTCTGAATGTATCGCAATAGCAGCTATAAAGGTCAATGAATTCTTCGTCACGTTTAACTGGCACACTCGTTCATAAATCCGTGCCCCCGCCTTGCACTGGCTACAACGAAATGCGAGGTGCAGCACAGCATTGAAAATCTGAATTTCAGTGCCATTATAAGACGAAAACAGCCATTGAACTGTGTTCCAATCAGTCCTGTTGCCCGCTTCGGCAATCCTGGACAATAGCAGCTTTCCCGAATGACTTAAGGGCGTCTGGCGTCCGTCTCGCGCTCTGGAACTTAACTGGATGCCATCTCGTTCGCGCATCAACTTCAGTAAGTCTTGCTTGCCCACGTAGCCAAAATTGCGGCCACTGACATCTGCACTCAGCAGTATTGGGATCGAAATCAAGATCCATGCGCAAGACACTGGTCGACACCAGCGTCTGAATGGTGAAACGGGTCGCATAGCAAGATATTGCGAGTGCATGTTTGCCAGAGAGCTAGCTTCAACTCCTTAGGCTAGGGTTGTGAGCAAATTTCTTTGAGTCATGAAGCCGTGTATGAGTTACATGCGATTCTCAGATGTATCGCTGGGGAGGTAGATCCACTGGTTCGCAATACGGCAGAATCACAAAACAAGGGCATGGACGTGGATCCGACATCTCAAGAATCCTAACCCTAAACCCTAAACCCTAAACCCTAAACCCTAAACCCTAAACCCTAAACCCTAAACCCTAAACCCTAAGTCTGGGGACCATCAAGCCAAGACGGACCCCAACTTTTCAGAAGCCCCTGCAAGTCCGTGACACTGTTCTGCACCGTGCTTGAAACATCCTTCAGCTCTTTAAAGGTTCTAGGAATCCTCATCGGTTTAGGGTTTAGGGTTTAGGGTTTAGGGACCGTTTCGAACCAGATTAACAACTTTGTATAGCGCCCATATGGGAACCCTTCTCGGATAGCACAACCCAATGAAGCTAGCCAATATGGGAGTTTCCGAAACTAGGGGATAAGGATCCTACTATTTAGGCTACTATGTTAGGGTCCCCTATTTTCGGAAACCCCCATATAACTCTTAGACCACCCTGTAGAGCTCAAGTGATCGCACCTCGCTGGCGCGGCGCAGGGCGTTGGCGAGGGCCTGGCCCTCAAAGGGGAGGAGAACCTGAAGACAGGGGTTAGGGTTTTGTGTTTAGGGTTTAGGGTTTAGGGTTTTGGGTTTAGGGTTTAGGGTTTAGGGTGTAAGGGTAGACAAAAGGCGGACGCTGACCTTGAGGAGACCGGAGCTAAGAGGGTTCGGTTCAGGGCTAAGCCTCGGGGTCTGTTGTAGCTTGCCACCTAAACCCTGAACCCTAAACCCTAAACCCTAAACCCTAAACCCTAAACCTCTAAACCCTAAACCCTAAACCCTGTCTACTGCACACTGTCGACTATTGTTGGTAAAGACATCGTCAATGGATTTTGTCCCAATAATCTTATAACAGCAGCTTCGTCCATCCTCGTCCTTGTCCTCGTCGTACTTCTATGGGCTCCTTCTCTGCTTTGTTTGATAGTATGTCCATTGTTTTGGTCATAACTATTTCTTTGAACTGTCTGTTACAATTCGTTGTGGTTCTGCTTCTGTTTCCAGCTTATTACACTGCTATTGTGATTCCATTGCTAGTACCGACAAAAATATCTGTTTCACCCCTCATAGATGTTCGGCCGTTCTCGACGCCCCACACTTGGAGAGCTCTCTTCCTTAAAACGTCCCATGGACACCCTCCAAAATCCTACAAAAGCACACCGTCTTGGACTAAGGCAGCAAGAGAGGGGAGCACCCTTTCCCCCAAAACCAAAACCCTGATTCCCCCAAGAACCCCCAAGACCCTTTCATATAGGGGCCTTAACTAATAATTAGAATAGGGTTTTGGGGTATATATGGTGCTAAAATAAGGAACCCCCAAGACCCTTTCATATAGGGGCCTTCACTAATAGTTAGAATAGGCTTCTATGCGTCCAAGGCCGAAGAGTCGCCTCCCGACCCGCGGCCGTTGCTTTGCGGCCGCCCGTCTCCCCCAGTAGCATCAAGAGTAGGCCTGATATTGGGATTTAGGGGTTAGGGTTTAGGGTTTAGGGTTTAGTGTTTAGGGTTTAGGGTTTGGGGTTCGAGGTTTTTTGAGGGCTTAGAGCTTTATACGACGACCCTTATACAAGCCCTAAGCCGTAAACCCAAACACACACGACCCTTATACTAACCCTAAACCGTAAACCCAAACACCATAAACACACGTGCTCCTTAGGTACACCGTTGACCTAAGCCCTTGCAGTGGGTCCAGGGCTTTGGGCTTCGACTTCGGGGTCCTCATAATTTGGAACAGGGCTGTTGGGGCCTATTTTATTACAATCACAATGCAGAACCCCCAAGATAGTCTTAGTAATTGTTTAGGCCCCTAGGGCTTAGACTTCGTGGTCTTGATGTAGGGGCCCTTTATATTATAATTAGAATAAGGAACCCCCCAAAATAGTGTCGGTACTTGTTTAGGCCCCTACATTGGTACATTGGGGCTAAACCCTAAACCCTAAACCCTAAACCCTAAACCCTAAACCCTAAACCCTTAACCTTAAACCCTAAACCCTAAACCCTACACTTCGGGGTCTTGGGGTTCTTTGAGGATTTGGGCCTTGGGGGTTCGGGGCTTTTCTTGGGCTTCGGGCTCACTTCTGGCTCGGGCCTTCCCTGGGTTTGGGCTTAGAGTTTAGGGGTTGGGGTGTAGAGTTGAGAGTTTAGGGCTTAGGGTTTGGGGGCTTAGGGTTTAAGAGCTTAGGAGTTGGGGTTTAGGGTTTAGGGTTTAGGAGTTGGGGTTTAGGGTCGCTCAGGGTTTAGAGTTTAGGGTCTAGGGTTTAGGGTTTAGGTTTAGGGCTTCGGGTTTTTTTTTAGGGCGGCCCTGCG